TACGCCACAACACCAGCCCCATGAACATATTTTACGAATTAACTCATCACTGCTTGTTTCCTTTTTTCCTCTTTTGGCTATTATGAAGAATACTGCTATGAATGTTTATAAGCTTTTGTGTCAACATTTTTGTTTTTAAAGATTTATTTATTTGAAAGGCAGTCAGAGAAGGAGACAGAGGCAGACAGACATGTTTTCAGCCTCTGGTATGTGCCTACCAGTGGAATTGCTGGGTCAAATGGTAATTCTGTATTTAACTCTGAGGAACTGTCAGACTGTTCCCCAGCAGCTGCGCCAGTTTATGTTCCCAGTCCACGAGGTTCCCAGGTTCTTCTCGTCCTTGCCATCACTTCTAGTGAACTCCTTTTAGCATTGTTTCCCCAGCTAAGCTGTCCCAGCAGGTGTGAAGTGGTATCTCATTGTGGCATAGACTTGCATTGCCCTGTGACTCCTGATGCTGACAGCTTTTCACACACTCATTGGTCATTTAATGACCTTCTTGGGGGGAATGTTTTACTGATTTTCGAGTTGTTTTTGTTTGTTTGGAATTCTAAGAGTTATTTATCCGTTCCAGATTCTAGACTCTTATCAGATATGATTTGCAATATTCCATTCTGTGGGTGACTTTTTTCACTTTGTTGTTAGTATCCTTTTATGCACAAACTTTTAAATTTTGGTGGGGTCTAATTTGTCTATCTTTTCTTTGCTGCTGATTTTTCTCTTGCAATGTTGAGATATAGTTCCTCAGAACTGTCTACACTTCTCCTCTATCCTTGGGGTTACTTTCCAAGATCCATAGTGGATACCTGAAACTGTAGTTAATACTGAGCCCTATATATACACCTATCTCTGATGCAGTTTAATTCATACATTAGACCCAGTAAGAGACTAACAACAATTTATAGTAAATCTTAGCAAACCTCACCATGTGATTTTTTTCACTTCCTTTTATTGAGAACTTTCACCTTCTCACTTAAAGGAAGCAACTCACAGCCACTCTGTGGCAGACCCGAATTGCTGGCAGCACTAATCTTGTACTTTGTGGCAATTATAAACTAAAATCAAGGTTACTTGAACACCACTGTAGCTCTCCCACAGATCTGATACCGAGAGGGATTCTCCCTGACTAGCAGGCATGGAGCTTATTCAGTGTGGAAACTTTAGGCAAAGGGATGAGTCATGCCTTGGAAGGATTTCACCATTCCAGTCAGGATCAAAAGGCATTGAAGATTTATGAAATGTTTACTACTAAAATTTTCCATTTAATATTTTCAGAGCAAGGTGGACCACAAGTAACTGAGACCACAGAAATCGAAACCTCAGCTGAGGGTGGGGGAACTACTGTACATCAGGTTACTGGTTTTAATGAGGATACTAACACTTGGGGTAGCTGCAAGAAGGGAATTTTCTGTGTATAGATTATTTTTACAACTGTCAGAAATAAGCCTGAAACAATTTTTAAGTGAAGAAAAAAATAGAACTTCTCTATTTAAATACTATTTTTAAGATAGATTTATTTATGTGAAAGGCAGAGTTACACAGAGAGGGAGAGACAGATTTTCCATTCCCTGGTTCACTCCCCAAACGGCAGCAACAGCAGGAGCTGGGCCAGGCCAAAGCCAGGAGATTCTTTCCAGTCTCCCACACGGGTGCAGTTGCCCAGGCACTTGGGCCCTCTTCCACTGCTTTCCCAGGTGCATGAGCAGGGAGCTGGATGGGAAGTGGAGCAGCTGGGACTCTAACTAGCATCCAAATGGGATGCTGGCATTGCTGAGGTTACTGGTCATTTTTGACCTTTTTTTTTAAAGTACTTTCATTGTTGGTTTAATACAACACTTAAAAACAGTTTCTAGACACATTTTTTTTAAGTATATGTGCTGCCGAAGCGAGCACACAATTAAAAAAAAAAAAAACACTCTAGGGGCTGGCGCTGTGGCACAGCAGGTAAAATCAGCACTTTAGACATCAGCAGCTCATGTCAGAGCACTGGCTTGAATCCTACCTGCTCCATTTCTAATCCAGCTCTCTGCTAATACACCTGGGAAAGCAGTACTTGGCCCTTGCCATCCTGAGAGAGACCCAGGTGGAGCTCCTGGCTTCTGACTTCAGCAGGGCCCAGACCTGGCTGTAGCATCCGTTTGAGGAGTAAACCAGTAGATGGAAGATGTCTCTCTCTCTCTTCCTCTTTCTGTTGCTCTGCCTTTCAAATAATAAATAAATCTTTTCCAAAAAATAAAAAGTTAACATTTCATTAAGAAAATTTTCAAACAAAATAGAATAAAACAAATTTCTGTGCCTATTACCCAATTTTAACAGCTAGCATTTCCCCATATTTACAGTATCTGTTCCTTCTCCTCAGTATAAGTTGGAGCGAATCTCAGATTCGTCACTTCACGGTAAACACTTTTTCTTTCAGCACACCCATCATACTGTTATCACATGTAATAAAAGTAACAATTCTAGTCCCAGCTGCTCCTCTTCCAATCCAGCTCTCTGCTGTGGCCTGGGAGGGCAGTAGAAGATGGCCCAAGTGCTTGGGCCCCTGCACCCACCTGGGAGACCGGGAAGAAGCACCTGGCTCCTGGCTTTGGATAGGCGCAGCTCTGGCCGTGGTGGCCATTTGGGGAGTGAACCAACGGAAGGAAGACCTTTCTCTCTGTCTCTCCCTCCCACTTTCTGTAACTCTACCTGTCAAATAAAATCTTTTTTTTTTTTTTAAAGTAACAATTCCTGAATAGTACTGAATTCCCAGTCCTTGTTCATATTTTGCTCATTGTCTCAAAAGTTTGTTTTTTGAATCAACACCATGAGGCACTATTTTGTTTTTAAGACTTATTAATTTATTTGAAAGGCAAAGTTAGAGAGAAAGAAGGAGAGGCAGAGAACGGTCTTCCATCCACTGGCTCACTCCCCAACTGGCCTGCCTCAGTAGCCAGGAATGGGCCAGCCAATGCCAGCAGCCAGAAGCTTTATTCAGGCCTCCCACATGGGTACAGGGGCCCAAGCACTTGGGCCATCTTCCACTGCCTTCCCAGGCATTTCATCAGGGAACTTGATCAGAAGTAGAGAAGCCAGGATTTCCTGTACCAGAACTTGAACAGGTACCCATATGGGATGCTGGAGTCATAAGCACAATATACCCCTATGAGGTATATATTTGGTTATGCGTTTTTTTTTAAGATGTATTTATTTTATTTGAAAGGCAGAGTTACAGAGAGGCAGAGGCAGAGAGAGAGAGAGAGAGAGAGAAAGAGAGAGAGAGAGAGAGAGAGGTCTTCCATCCACTGGTTCACTCCTCAGATGGCTGCAACAGCCAGAGCTGGGCCAATCCAAAGACAGGAGCCAGGAGCTATCTCTCGGTCTCCCACACAGGTGTAGGGGCCCAAGGACTTGGGCCATCTTACATTGCTTTCCCAGGCCATAGCAGAGAGCTGGATCAGAAGTGAAGCAGCCAGAACTCAAACTGGCATCCATATGGGATGCTGGCACGGTAGGCGGTGGCTTTACCTGCTACACCACAGCGCTGGCCCCTTAATTATGTGTTTTAAGATTCTTAGTCCATAACCCTCCACTCTTGATGTGAAGCTTTGATCTTAAATTCAGTCTTTTGGTGGAGATTATGTTAATTATGCTATGGAAACTTAGTGTTTTTCTTATTTTTTTATTCCCTGTAAATGGTTGGTTAGATCTAAAGCCTTAATTAGATTTCAGAGCAACTGGTGGGATCAGAAATACCTGGTAGGTATTCCTGGGATTTGATCAGAGGCCCAAGTGGTATCAGCTTGACTGGCTCATCAAAAAGTTCAGCATCTGCTTCAAAAGGCACGTGTCAAATGTGTGAATGAGAAACACTCACTGTCGATGACATTCACCCACGGGGGGCAATCTGCCATAACACTGAACTTGCCTTACACAGACTTGATAGTTGAGGTCCATGTCAGTCTTTGTATCACAGAGCACTGTAGACCAAAAAAAAAAAATTTTAAGAGAAAACTTATTTTTAAAAATGGCCTTACTCAAGTACAACTCAAAAGTCATCTCTGAAACTATCCTCACTGATTGAGAACCAAGTGGATAAATTTCAGATCTAGTCTAGGTCATAAAACCAGCAGAGGAAGCTACTGGAATTCCGGCTGCTGCACTTCCCAACCAGCTCCCAGGGAATGCACATTGGAGAGCGGTGCAGGGCGGAGCTCTTGGGCCCTAACCACGTGGTCCCCGTCCTGGCTCCTTGCTTCCCCCGGCCCAGCCCCAGGTGGTGCCGCCATTTGAGGAGTGTACCAACGGATGGAACATTGTCTCTCCCCCCCTCTATAACTCTTTAAAATAAATCCTAAAAAAAAAGAAAGAAAAAAAAAAAGACTAGTAGGTAGCAAAGCATGAAAAAAATGGCCACTACGTCTTTAGGGCCCGAGGCAAGAAAGGGTGAGGCAAGAATCGGTTTTCCTTTTAATCCCATCTGTGCGTGTATTCATTACTTCAACAACATCACAAAGGGCAAATGTTGAAAATACCAACATAAAAACCTATTAATTACACAGATGCTGCCAGCTTTTTCCGTGCCCTCACGTCAGAACCCAGTCGGACAACACTTTAAACAGGCTGAAGTCAAAGAAAGTTCCTCAGAGTACCAGCAACCTTCAAAGCAGCCGACGCGCCAGACCCGGGTCCCCAGGAGCTGGGAGGCCAGGCCCGCCTCCGGACCCCGGAGGCGCCAGGGCTGGGGACGCGCTCCACGCCCGCGCGAAAATGCTGGGCGCGCACAAAGCCCTCGTGGGCGGGGCTTGTCGACGTCACAGAGACTCCGCCCCCTGACGTCGCGCCCTGGGGAAGCCAGGAGGTTTCTGGCGGCGCGGGCGCCATTTTGCCGGAGCCTGCGACCGAGCGGGAGTGGAGCGGAGCGGCCGTTGTTGCCGACTCTTTCCCCTTCCCCGCGGTCCAGTCAGCGGGTTGATTAGGCCGTCGGCCCTCGAGCCGAAACTTGTCTCTTAATTAGTTCTGGGGGAGCGCCTGGCCGACATGAGTGATGTAGAGGAGAACAACTTCGAGGGCAGAGTGAGTACAAAGCCGCGGGAGCCGTCTTCGGCGGCGGCCCGACGCTCGGGGTTTCACGGGGACGAGCGCGGTCGGGCGGGGTTGCGGGGAGTCGTGCGGGGGCCCGCGGGGAGCAGCCTCCGGAGCCATCGCGATTGCTTCCTCCCATCCCAAGATGGCTTCTGGGTTCCAGTCCTCTCCCAGCCACCACGGGCTGCTACCCCCCTTTGGGGACTGACTGCTACCTGGACGCCGGGGTCCGGGTCCCTCTCCCGCCCCGCGCTGCTCCCTCTGCGCTCGGCTCCCCGGAGGCCTCATCTCTGTGGCGAGGAGCGGGTTCCCCGTCGCGGTGGGGCGGGAGGCGGCGGCCGGACAGTGGTAGGTTGCTGCTTGTCGGCGGTGGCGTTGGCGGCGACCCCGAGCCTCGCGGCGGGCCTCGGGGTCGGACGTGCGCGGGGCTTGCTGTCCGGGCGGGGAGAAGCTGGCGTGGGACTAGCTGGGGCCTGTGTCTCCTTGGCTCTCTATTGCAGTGAGCGGCCGCGTCTCTGTTGGAACCGGCGGCGTTGCGCCTATAAAGGCGACAAGCCTTGAGGTTGAAGGTGGGACGAGCCTAAGGAAGTGGTTAGTCAACGACCGCACCGACCCTTAAGCGTTCTTAAGACGGGAGCTGTGCGGGGAAAACTGCGCAAGGAGCCCTTTCCCCCTCCATGTCCCTCTCTCACTTCACCGTGAACGTGGAAATGCTATATAACGCCTTGTTTTCCCATTTTCTTAATGTCGGGTTGTTTTTTTTTTTTTTCCTCGATATTTCAATTTCTAATGCTTTTCTTTCTGTGACTTTTCTTCTAAAAACTGACCACTCCTTTGCAGGTTTTTACGGTAAAAAAAAAAATCCATCTTCGGTCTTATTTTAATCTTACGTAACTGAACAAATTTCAAGGCTCGGTGTTTTCATAAGAACCAGTCCTTTATGACTTATTTAACTCAAAGGGATCCCTGAAAAATTGTGGGTCCTCTCCGTTTTCCTCGCCCCTTGACCCAGCCAGAGAGCACTCGAGAAAGGTGTTCGGAGAGAAAGGGGGCTGGAGGAATGTAAACCTCACAAAGAAGGCGTTATCCCGGCTTTAATGCACTAGAACCTTTACCACGGTTCGACTTCGGTTTCCACAGTTATCCCAGTAGGGAGAATTGGTGGAAGTGATTTAGTGTGAAAATCGGGAAAAGAAACAAAAGCCCGGGGCAGCGCGCCTTGGCTGCTGTGTTGGTATTTGTTCCAGGCACTAGGGGAGACTTAAAAAACGCCCTGTGTGTGCTGCAGGGAGTGTCGTTTTTGGAGGTTTATACTCTTAAGCACCTGGAATCAGGGCAGTAAGAGAAGAGAACGAAAGCAATAGGTTAGAAACAAAACTCAATCTAGTTCCTTTAAGATTGAGTTTCTCAATGAGATTTTGAGCCTGGGTAATTGCATAGTTGAATCTGCTAATTTTTTTAGGATAATATACTGACCCAACAAAACTTTAAAATCGTGCAATACAAATATTTGGTGGTAGTTGTAAGCTGCTGCTTGTTTTGAAAAATGGTGGGGCTGTATGGGAATAATTTTTGCTGTCCACTCATCTTTCCTTTCTTTCCATTAACTTTCATTACTGTGCGGGGTGGGGTTGTTTGTTTTGTTTAATGTTTGTTTTGGTTTGGTTTGTGGAGAAGTGTAGAGGACTGGTAGTGGGATCCTATTTCCTTTAGTTCTTATTTTTTTAATTTGTCCTGTCGAGGATCAGAGTAAATCTAGATCATTGTCTCCTTATCCACCTAAGGAGGGAACGTGTAAGATTCTCACCCACTTTTACCTAAAGTGTGTGTAGACATTACAATTTATTTAGTAGAAAAAATTTTTAACTCCCCTCCCATGGCTGTTTGTAATCAAGAAACTTTTTCCACAGGTGATACATTTATTTTATTGTAAATCAACTCAGATCAAATAACACTTCCAGACTTCTCTGGAGGTTTCCTTTTTAAAATTGTTTGGTAACACAGTTTAACACTGCCTAGTGCTTTTGGTTTTTAAATTGAAGTGACTTTTTATCTGCTGACCATAAACCAGCACTTTAAATTTTTTTAATAAGCAACTACTGTGTCCTTATCTTTGCTTCTAGGCTATCTAAATGTAACAACCATAGCTCAGAAGTGTCGAGTTGTTAAGTTATGCTTCAAACTTTTTTTTTTTTTACTAAAACAAGTTAGAGAAAACATTGACAGGGTAGCCTTCAAACATTAGGTTTATCAGACACATTTCTGGAGATTATTAAGCTAACTTTTAGAGTAAATGAATTTCCCATAGAATTCTCAGAAAAATGCTTCTGATACTTTAAAGTGCAATTTCATTTACTTTATCTACAGAATAAACAGCATATGTTAACCCCATTTCACTAAAAGAGTATTTCAAATCAGAAGATAACTTTTTAGAGGCTATCAAACGTTAAAGAAATAGGACTAATACCAGTATTGCCTACTTTTGTAGCGTTTTAGAATGTGTTGCCCCCAAAATCTTTGATGCACTTTAGAAATTAAGAACTTGTGGCCTAATTTGAGATGGCTGATGGACCATTCAAATCTGGGCAAAAGTAAGTGTGTGGTTAAGCGATAGGATTAATAAAGGAGTCAGAAAATGGAGCTGAGCAGTTTTGTAAACTGCAGGAAAGGGAAAGCTTTGCCTGTTATGTAAAACTTTGACTAGATTTTATGATAGGGAAAAGAATGTTGATTGTATGGGTGTGACAGTGTGGAGGTTGTACTGGAATATTGCAAGATAGATTTCATTAAATATGCAGTCAGATAATGCAGGGTTTTGAATTCTAGATTTAGGAATTTGGGCTTCGTCCAATATGCAGGAAGGAGCCATCTATGAGCTCTTAATTCTGGGAGGGGAATAATGAACTGTAGCAAAGATTAAAAAGACTGGCGCAGAAAGCATTTGAAATATTTAAGGAAAGAAATTATTTTAAAAATTGGTCTAAATAGGACACTAGTGGGATGTAAGAATGAGTGAGGCAGTTTAAAAAGGATTTAGGAGAATAATAGTGCCTTTAAAATAAGTTTATTAAGACAGTTTGCGACATATGTATCGAGTTAACACATTTTAAGTGGCGGTGTCCTTTGGAGCTGGAGTGAGATTAGCACTTCAGCTGTGGCTTTGATGTCATCTTCATAAAAAATGAGCTATGTTTCATACATACATCTTCAACTAAAATTAGGATTTTTGATCTGAAAACAATAACTTTTATAGAATTGTGGGGGTGGAAATTAAGTTCGTCTTTTCATTTATCTTACTCCTCCTCTACCCCTAAATTTTTAAAAACCTAAACTTAGAAAAAAGTACAGTGCAATTGTGTTATTTAGAGATCCATCATATAATTCCGCAGTTATTGTGATGTATTGTAATACCATTGAAGAAGAAAGATAATGCTTATTTTTACCTCTTCAGGGCTTGTTCTGACTTTCTGAGACTCTTGGAGTTTCCTTTCTTAATATGAGGTGGTTGGATGATAAAGTGAAGAGCAGAGCAAAAATTCCTATGTACTAAATTGAAAGTTGCGTGTGTTGAGATACTTTGTTGAAGAATGGAGGAAATAAGAGGGGACAGTTTCCCCCTTCTCTGAAACCTGATTTGTTCATAATAGAGGGATGATGCCTACCTCAGCTAAAACCCAGTGTGATAACAGGCTTATGTTTGTTTTCTAATAAAGAAAAACCCTTAAGGGGTTAGATTTTTGAAATTTTTAAATAATCAACATGAAAGATGTCACACCACTTTAGCTTTAAAAGACTTAATTCAGCTTCTTCATTGATTTAATTTCATATCTCATCAGGTTAACCTGTTAAAAAGAACTAAAACTTCTTTCCCTCTAGGGATGGTGTTACGCCTGAAAGTTTAGGGTTTGATTTATTTTCCTGAAAATAAGTACTATTACATATTCCCTCCCCTCCCACTCTCCTTGAAGCAGAGAATGTGTAAGTTTAGTGAAACCTGTTAAGGCTTGATTTTTATATTGCAGATTGTCTCACTGAAGGGTCCTGATTTGTTTAATGTAGATAAAAAGATTTTGGGAAAGAGTGGTACAAGTAATGATACCGATATTGCATAACTAATTTTACAGATCTGCCATAAATGGTTATACTTTGTATCATTCCTAAAATGAGAATAAAGAGCCTTGAGACCTAAAGGGATATCAAGGAAGTTAAATATTTAGGGGTGATAGTCCGTTATTTTATTTTAAAGACTTATTTTATTTATTCGAAAGAATTACAGAGAGAGGTAGAGACAGAGAGAGAGGTCTTCCATCCGCTAGTTCACTCCCCAGATGGCTGCAACAGCTGGAGCTGTGCCGGAGCCAGGAACTTCTCCTGGATCTCCTACATGGGTGCAGTGGCCCAAGTTCTTCCACTGCTATCCCAGGCCATAGCAGAGGAGCTGGATTGGAAGAGGAGCAGCCGGACTAGAACCAATGCCCATGTGGGATGCCAGTACTTCAGGCCAGGGCTTTAACCCGCTGCACCACAGCGCCGGCCCCAATAGTCCTTTTTTAAAAAAAAAAAAAAGTAAACTTTGTGGGCTTAATTCTGTAGATGAGCTGAACTTTACCTGTGCCATAACTCAGTAAAAGAACGTAGCTGTGCAGAAACGTCTGATAGTGTGCTCAGGCATGAACTAACTATCCCTGAGACCTTTGTAAAAAGTGTATATTCACATGCAGAGAGGATGAATACTGGTTATTTGTTCATATATCTTAACAAGCTCAGCAGGACAGAAATGGAGATTAGAAAGTGGTAGCAGTCAGATGAGGAAGACACTTTGTAATCACTGGAAAAATTGAGAGGAGAATAATGCAAAGAAATGTGGTTCCCCTTCCTTCCATTAAATTACTGCATAACTAAGGTTGTGTATAATCTGCTTGCCTTGTGATTTTCATAAAAGACATGAGAGAATAGACGTGACTGATCAGAGATGGAATAAGTTAGGGGTTTTCCTTAAAACGAAAGCCCTGTCATTTAGTTACTCGAAATTGATGAATACTCTGTGACATCATCATATGAGAACATTAAGTAGAGAGAATGTTGTAACGTGTTTTTTTTGTTTGTTTGTGTGTTTTTTGTTTTTGTTTTTGACAGGCAGAGTGGACAGTGAGAGAGAGAGAGACAGAGAGAAAGGTCTTCCTTTTGCCATTGGTTCACCCTCCAATGGCCGCTGCGGCCCGACACTGCGCTGATCTGAAGGCAGGAGCCAGGTGCTTCTCCTGGTCTCCTATGGGGTGCAGGGTCCAAGCACTTGGGCCATCCTCCACTGCACTCCCTGGCCACAGCAGAGAGCTGGCCTGGAAGAGGGGCAACCGGGACAGAATCCGGCGCCCCGACCGGGACTAGAACCCGGTGTGCCGGTGCCGCAAGGCAGAGGATTAGCCTATTGAGCCACGGCGCCGGCCGTAACGTGTTTTTAGTAGTTTCATTTTTGTTGCTATTCATTGGCTTTTTAGTATAATTAAATCATTTTAGTTCTTGGTTTCTTTCTCTGCTTTTGAGATTGCCACTCATATGCTAGCTTTTCAAGCATTGCAGTTGATCATGAAATACAAGCTAGCAGACTTGGGAGTCATTTAAAATTTGAACAAAAGAATATAAAGTTTGCAGGCAATCTTCCAACTGAAGGATGAGTTTAAATTTGATTATCTATAGAGCCAGTATTTTTGGCACAGTGGATTATACCCATATCGGAATGCCAGTTTAAGTCCTGGCTATTTGATGTTTCTGATCCAACTTCCTGCTAATGTACCTTGCAAGGCAACAGAAGATGGCCTGAGTACTTGAACTCCTGCCACCCATGTAGGGAACAGGAATGGAGTTCCTGGCTTCTGGCTTGGACCTGGACCGGACCTGGCTCATACCTGGCTGTTGGCAGCCATTTGGGGAGTGAACCAGCAGATGGAAGATCTGGCTCTTTGGTTTGTCTCTCCCTTCCTCTCTCTGTCGCTCTGCCTTCAAATAAACTGAAATTTTTTTATGCTTTAATATGTATGTATAGTTACCAGATAATAAATTCTTTATGATAAAAAGTTCTCCCAAATTATTTCAGACTTTAGACACACAGTGTTAGAATATTTGTGAACCTTTGTAATAAAGACCACATCGGGGTCAGCCATTCCGCCCTGTATAATACAGACCCTGGGAGGGCTGGCCAAGGTGGTAGTTGAGTTCCCACCACCCACATGGGAGAGTGGGATTAAGTTTCTGGCTCCCAACTTGAGCCCCAGCCCAACACAGCCTGGGCCATGTGAGAAGTGAACCAGCAGATTGGTGAGTTCTCTCCCTCCCCCTTCACCTGCTCCCCTTACTTCCCTTTCAAACTAAAGAAAGGGGAAGGTGCCAGAAAGACCACTTTAATCAGCCTCTAAGGGTCTGTAAGTGAGGCATCCCATCATACCACAACAAGCGTGGGGAGCCTTTTTTCTGCCAAAGGTCATTTGGATATTTATAACATTCACAGGCCACAATTATTGTCAGCTTAAAAATTAGCCTGCTATAGATGTATTGAATTTCAGGTTGTACCTGTAGTTGCCTTGGCAGGGTCAGACCAAAGGATTTTGCCAGCCTCATGCAGCTGGGGGGCCAGATGTTCCCTACCCCTACTTAGAGGAAGTAGGCAAAACTTCTGTAGACTGAAATTAAATAATTGAGTAAATAGATTTCTTATAATCCCTAAAGAATGAAGTTTTTAGTTCAGTAAGTATTGTGAGGCATTTGAGTACATTCTCTCCCCTTTTGGGAAGTATAAATTACCTAAGTGCACTAGTGTGCTTCTGTGGAAATAAATTTCCAATTTCATAAAGTAGTAGGAAAGTATATTTTGAAAAGCTTGTTTTACAGGCTTAGATTTGAATTGTATCAGTTTGGCACTATTACCTGACAGTTTGGCCTTAATATTCTATTTGTATTAATTTTATCTTTCATGAATACGAGTATTAAGTAATAAGCATATATTTTAGAATGGGATTTTTTCTCATTTATAGCCTAATAAGGCTGTATTAGGATATTTCAGTTACTGCTTGCTGTAGGAATTGTATTCTGCAGCAGTGTGTGCATATAACATACACCAAAAGAAAAACATATTTAAGCAGATTGTTCTGAGAGTTTTCTACTCATCTTCTAGGTAAACTAGAAGCCTTTTTTAGATTTCGGTTAAAATCTGTGATGAAGTTTTTCATCTGCTCATTTTAACTAGAGAGCATACTTTCATGCTTGTTGAATCCAGTAGCCAGTTACTGAGAAATTTGTAGAATTCCTTGTCTGGCCAGCTTTAAGAACAGGTTAAGTGTAACTCTAGTGAAAGCACTAGGTACTACAAGATACCACTCCATCCCAGAATTTATTTTTTGTTTTCTGTTTGCAATTTCAATTTATTTTTCAAATCCTAAATAATTAATTCCTTTGGGAAAAAGTTGAAGTTATTTCATAATGAACACAAATGAAAGATGAGAAAGGCATAGCCAGCATTTGTCCTCCATAAAGAACTTTACTATATAGTAAAGTTGGAGAATTTAGTGAAAAGCATTTGGTAACAGCCTTTCAAAATGGTAAATTAATAAACTTTGAAATGGTAAATATTAATATGAGCATCTATCTGTGTAAACACCATTAGCCACCAGTTCATGCAGTGATGGGCCATTTTTTGGTGGTGGTGTAAAATATTTCTGAAGAATTAAATTTTATACATGAAAGTTTAGGCTAAGTTTACTGAGAAAATATCTTTTTAGATAAAGTTTCTAAATTGTTTTTGGAAGTTAAAAACTATAGTTACATCTTTGTAACTAGTAATTAGAAGAGTACTATATTTTAACTGGAGAATCCCTTGAAGAAATGTGTTAAAGTCATAATTTAATGAAGTCATACTTTAATGCTTTGTTGCCACTCCAGAAATGAGGCCTAAAATTTTAAACTATTATTCAGTTACCTCATTTATGTTAATACCTGAGTTGTGGTCATTTCTAGCAGCTGAAATTATGTTTATGGGGGAAGACACAGATTGGGTCCATAAAGTTTTGTGCTAGAAAGCTTCAAAAAAGCATGTAGGAGTACATTTTGGATTTAATGTGATTTTAAATGTCCTAGTAAAGTTAAAGGATTGAAGGTTTACAAGGTTTGGTAGAGCAAATCCTTCTGATATGTGTATTATTCCAAGGGCCATGATGTTCATAAATGCCATTGCAGCTACTGCTGTTCAACAGTAGCATAAAAGAATGGTGACAGTCCGTTGTAATGGGAGGAAAACATAGAGTGGGGAAGATAATATCAGGTAGTTACTAGACCAGCTTGCGAACTATTAAAAGTTCTGGGTATGCTGATTTTATAGTTTTAGGGAACAAAAAACCTAACTTGCTTGCCTACTCCAGGCATCTCTCCAGGAATTTAAAGTATTTGAGATGTGGTAAAAAGCTTACTGTAGGCAGCCAAAATTGGAAAAGTATGGAACAGGAAACAAGCTATATATTTTCATTTTTGTTTTCATGTGAAAAAAATGGATAGGTCTAGTGGCATTAGTACATTTCTTGATAAATAAGGTTTTTGATATCAAACTTGAAGTAAAAGGAAAGTGTTAAGAAAGCTATCTTTAAAAATTGTGTAATATAGAGAAAGAATTGATGCGATATTGAAATTGGATAATTGTTTACACTAATAATAGCAAGGTTTAAATGGACAAATAAGCTATCTTATTTTGGTCGTAAATGCCTTATATCTATCAAGACAAGATATCCATCTGTTATACATTATTTGGAAATTTTTGATTACATCCAACTTTTTCAGAGACCGGTTTGCTGATGGAGGATGTGGTCTCTGAAGTACATATAAAGTCTGTCAAAATTGTGAAGACGTAGAATCAAAGATAGAGACCATGGTACAAGTTTTGTAACTTGTACGGGTGTTTCCTTCCATAATACAGCATTTTACAGAGGAAAAATTGCAAAAACACTGATTTTTAGGAATTTATAAGCTAAAGGGGATTTTTAGGATTTCTTTGCTTCCTCTTTCCCCTTAGTTCTTTAGAATGCTTATTTGTCACCAGCGCTGCGGCTCAATAGGCTAATCCTCCGCCTTGCGGCCCCAGCACACCGGGTTCTAGTCCCGGTCAGGGCGCCAGATTCTGTCCCGGTTGCCCCTCTTCCAGGCCAGCTCTCTGCTGTGGCCCGGGAGTGCAGTGGAGGATGGCCCAAGTGCTTGGGCCCTGCACCCCATGGGAGACCAGGATAAGTACCTGGCTCCTGCCATTGGATCAGTGTGGTGCGGCGGCCATTGGAGGGTGAACCAATGGCAAAAGGAAGACCTTTCTCTCTCTCTCTCACTGTCCACTCTGCCTGTCAAAAAATAAATAAATAAATAAATAAAATAAAAAGAATGCTTATTTGTCTTCAGAACATATATTTCTGGGAGGTCAGAATGAGAAAATACTTAGTGGCCAACCAAAATTGGGAGGAGGTGTTAGTAGTTTTACTGTGACCCTTGCATGTGTGCTATAATGTGAGTTTAGACAGGTGTGTGCAAATATTTCAGCCTAGGATGCTTTGCTTTAACTATATTTTGATTCTTAGTCTGACTTAGTGAAGGCCTATTTTAAGATCACTAAAAATCCAGGTTATAAAATAGTGGAAACTTAACACTTAGGTGTGGAGGGGGGAATTACAGTTAATGTTAGATTTATGTTTGAATTAATTATTTCTATTAAAATTGTTCATATTTTAGAAACTAGAATGAAACATGAAAGGGGAGGAGGGTGAAAATTATGGTAAAAAAACATTTAGAAAAATTCAGTAAATCATTTGTTAGAAACTAGACTTTGAACAATTTTAAAGACTATAAAATTGTTTTTTTAATAAATTAGTTATTTGCACTTTACCTGCTGGCTTTTCCATTTGGTAGATAACATTCTGAACTCCAGCAGAGTTTTATAATCCCCACGTGCTTAAATATACTAAATGTTCTTTTTCCATTAAGGTTAATGTTCGTGAAGAAATTGAAGAGTTTTTTCCAAGAATGTGGAAGATAAATCAAGATAAAAGAAGGCTAATGAAAAGTATTAAAGATCAGAAAATTAAAATTGAATGGGGGAAAAAATTGAACAGAAGATTGGTCAGATAGAAGCACTTGAATATTTTTTTAAGGCTATTTTGAATTGTTTGGGGAAGAATACACGAAGTATGAAAAATGAAAAACTCAATGAAGAATGAAGAGAAGTAGAAAGCAAGAGTGAAGTAGAATTAAAAGAATCTGGAAGAATGAATGGGTCCTAGGTTAAGTAAATGTATGGTTTATGTTCCAGTGTCTGTATGATCAAGTTGTAGATGAATTTGCATGATTACTTAGTTAATAGAGATTTGGTGATCTGGTTCAAGTAGGGAATTATTGAGGACAGTTAGCAGTATTAACAATGGGTTATTAATGAGCTGAAAATTTTTTCTGGAGGGTGTTGCCTAACCATTTGTTTTTCAGGAGCAATCAATATAAATAATTACGGTACTTTAAATGTTAGGTGTTAGGCATCTACGTGACCAGTGCCATTTGTAATACTGTCTTCTTTGTTAGGAGTCTCGCTCTCAGTCAAAATCTCCAACGGGAACTCCTGCTCGTGTAAAATCGGAGAGCAGGTCAGGATCTCGTAGTCCATCAAGGGTTTCCAAACATTCTGAATCCCATTCTCAATCAAGATCAAAATCCAGGTAAGTGTGTTTGAAATACATTCTCCTTGAGGCTTTCATGACAAAGGAGTTTTTGCCAAATTCCTTAAATTTTCACTAAAGACTCAGTTTTTCTCATACTAGAATTTAGAAGTGATTGATGTATTCCAGATAAACGCTTGGGTTTTGGATACTAGCTGTTAATGCGAACTAAATTCATATCAGTGTATGCATTTTTGGCATTTGAATTAGTGTTCAGTTTTATGCCAACAATATTCTGTACAACAAAAAGGCAGTTTTTTCCATGGAATACTTGAATGTAGTTTAGTGCAGACAAGGCTGATGGACGTTTGTGGCACTAGGTGCTCATAAGAGTAATTTCTTTATCATTTCCCTGAGGATTTTGGCTCTGTGTCAAGCATGGCGCTCTGGTCATGATTCAGAGCCCCACAGCCAGTGACAACAGAAACACTAGTGAACCCCTGCAAATTTCACTGCAGGTACAATGGGGTGGAATAGACAGGCTAAAAACAATTAGTTTGAATCATTGTCATTTCTTGCATAGACATTTCTGCTGCCAAGGGGGCGTAAGACAAAATAAGGTTTTTTTTTTGTTTTTAAGATTTATTTTATTTGAAAGGCAGAATGGCAGAGGCAGTGGGGTGGAGGGTGGGGGCAGTGTCTTCCATCCATTGGTTCAATCCTCAATTGGCCGCAACAGCCAGAGCTGCGCCCATCAAGCCAGGAGCTTCTTCCAGGTCTCCCACACAGGTGCAGGGGCCCAAGGACTTGGGGCCATCTTCTACTGCTTTCCTAGGCCACAGCAGGGAGCTGGATAGGAAGTGGAGCAGCCAGGACCCAAACCATGCCAGCACTGCAGGCGATGGGTTTACATGCTACGCCACAGTGCCAGCCACAAAATCAGTTTTTTTAAAGGCTGTGCTTCTATTGAGGTCAACAGTTACAGTATTTTCTGTATTTTGATGTATGATTTAAAGAAAAGGAAAATATATTTATCTTAAAAATTGGAGCTGTAATTGGTGCTAAGAATAATGGGGAATATCCTCTTTGGTGTTATACAAACACAAGTTTTCTTTATACATAATTCACTTCCTGCACCCCTGTTAAAAGCAGAGTACTGGGGTCGGCGCGATGGCGCAGTAGGTTAATCCTCCGCCTGCAGCACCAGCATCCCATATGGGTGCCGGTTCTAGTCCGGTTGCTCCTCTTCCAGTCCAGCTCTCTGCTGTGGCCCAGGAAAGCAGTGGAGGATGGCCCAAGCACTTGGGCCCCTGCGCCCGCATGGGAGACCCAGAGGAAGCCCCTGGCTCCTGGCTCCTGGCTTCGGATCAGCACAGCTCTGGCCATTGTGGCCATCTGGTGAGCGAACCAGTGGATGGAAGACTTTTGCCACTGCATCTCTGTAACTCTGCCTTTCAAATAAATCTTTTTCAAAAAATGTCAGTTTAGAAAAAAAAAGTCTTATCACTGCTATCTAGGTAAGCTTAGTTAAGGATAGGTCATTGACTGTTAGATTTGGTAAGAATTTGTTAGATTTATAAGCAGAGAAAGAGGACTGTCAGAGCAACAGAAGAATCAGATCAGTAATTAACTAGGGAAGCATCAGTGGGCAGGTTGATATTATGAAAGTCTCAAGAAATGAAAGCTATAAAATCAGTTGAAGTGGGCTTTTAGGTTGTTGTTGAATTAATTTAGTGGATAACAGATAGCAACAGGCTAAAGGAAGGTTAGAAAGGAATTGATACTTGTTAGTGACTGGAATGTGGATCTAAGTGGAGAAGGTGGCAAGAATCAAAGGTTTTACAGTACTGGTGGTTGAAATTGGCTTTGCATTTTTCTTTTTAAAAGAAGGTAGATAATTAACGTGTTGGTAAGGTGAAAATGGTGAGTGTAGAACAGAGGGACAGAGAACAGAAGGTTGTAGTGATTTAGGAGAAGGAGGAGAAAGAGAATTCTCTTTTCTCAGAAGGAAGGAACTGAGGACAGCCAGAGATACGTAGATAAGTCGTTAAAGAGCCTTTATAGCCCAGTGTATTTACCTCAATGTATTCTCCCTCTAAGGTCGAGGTCAAGGAGGCATTCTCATAGACGCTACACTCGATCCAGATCCCACTCTCATTCTCATAGGAGACGATCTCGAAGTAGGTCGTACACACCAGAGTACCGGCGGCGAAGGAGCCGAAGTCATTCTCCAATGTCTAACCGCAGAAGACACACGGGAAGCAGGGTATGTGATTTATAAAAGTTAATTAAAACTTGTGGTGATTCTGATTTTTTTTTTTTTTTTTTTTTTTTTTGAGTGTTTAGTCCTGGTGTAGCTTGCTTATTATAAAGTGAACCACTGTTTACAAATGGTAATTAAGAAACATCTGTGTTAGCTTCCTTTTTCCTTTTTTTTTTTTTTTTTTATTAAAAATTTATTTATTTGAAAGGCAGAGGACAGAGAGAAAGAGATCTTCTATCTACTGGTTCACTCCTAAATGGCCACAGGTTCTGGGCCTGGGCCACATCAAAGCCAGAAGCTGCAACATGAGTACAGGAACCATTTTCCACTTCTTTTCCAGTCACATTAGCAGAAAGCTTGATTGGAAAGTGGAGCATCCTGGACTCAAACTGGCACCCATATGGATTGCCACAATGCTGGACCCCCATTTTAGCTTTCAAAATCAAAATAACTTTCTATGCCATAGATAGCCTAATAAAGGAATTTTCACTCTCAAGCCTTCGTGTTTTGTGACACTGCAGGAGTTTTCATTTGTTTTTTCACTAGTGGCAGAGCCAGGTTTCAACCAGTGTGCCTGACTCTGAAGCTCTGAGCTTAGCTGCTATGAAATGTGGTACTGCTTCTGCATGATACCCACTTAATTATAGTGGAGTGTGTTATTTGACAATGTTTAGAAATTTGTACATTTTTATTAGTTTTAAATGAATTTTTTTACTTTATTCCCACACACCCACCCTACCACCCCTTTCTAAGGCTGATTTATTTGAAAGGCAGAGGGACATCTGTCCACTGATTTAATTCCCAATGGCTACAATGGTCAGGGTTAGTTAGGCCAGGCTGAAGCCAGTGTCTCATGTGGGTGGCAGGGGACCGATTCATCATCCACTGTTAGGTGGGATGCTAGCCTTGCAAGTGGTGGTTTAACTCCCTACACCACAACACCAGCCTCTGTCCATGTTCAAAATTTGAATTGTGGGAGTGTTGAACGAATATCTTTGCTAAAGAATGAAAATGGAGAAGGTAGTATCTTGATAAGTAATTATCATTATATCAGATTAATTATAAACTTGTAAGGGATGTAAAATAGTTGAATAAATTAGAAATTATGGCATTAAACTGAGGATGGCCTTTTTTTTTTTTTAAAGATTTGTTTATCTGAAAGGCAGAATTACCGAGAAAGGTTTACTCCCCAAATGCCCACAGCAGCTGGGGGCCAATCAGGAACTTCTTCTGGGTCTCCCTCGTGGGTGCAGGGACCCTAGCACTTGGGCCATCTTCTTCTGCTATCCTAAGCCATACCAGAGAGCTGGATCTGAAGTGGTCTCGATCCAGTACCTATATGGGATGCCTGCCAAAGGCTTTACCCACTGTGCCGGCCCCAAAGATGGCTTCTTAGGATATATTCTGAACATTACTGGGCTGGAGAGTAGGAATGTTATTTTTTAGTCTATAGCCAGAGTGTCTGTTCCAAAGAATGCCTGAATGTGCTGTGAACTGTAAGATAGAGCTCATCTATGTTAGCTCTCTTAAAATCTTAATTCCAGAAGACAATAGGTTCTTCAAATATTAGAGGAGGTACTCTAAGCAAAACACTTTTAATTTTGATTTCTTGTAGATTTAATCAAAGCTTAGTGTTTAATAATGATATCTTTATTCAATAGGCAAATCCAGATCCCAACACTTGTCTTGGAGTTTTTGGCCTCAGTTTGTACACAACGGAGAGAGATCTTCGTGAAGTGTTTTCTCGATACGGACCGTTGAGTGGTGTCAATGTAGTTTATGATCAGCGAACTGGGAGATCTCGAGGATTTGCTTTTGTTTATTTTGAGAGGATAGATGACTCAAAGGAGGTAAATTTGTTTTCATAATTTTCACTTTGAAAATTTTTTATATAAACAATTGTATTGTTACTATTAACAGTAAACTTAATAGATTCCCATTTTTGTAAACATAGCTTCTAATCGTTATATGAATCAAATTCAGCTCTCAATGTTAAAATTAGAAAAAAACATTGGAATGTATGCTGTTTAACTTTTTAGCTTTTACTTTCTAGTATAGGTATATCCTGATAGAATTCTGGACTGTAAAGTAAGCTATCTATATATTTGGGTTAAAGTGTGTAGGTTTATATATTTATTTAAATATATATGCCATATTGATGTTTGAATAGATGACTGAATTGACTTTTAATTTGTGTTTTTATTTATTTGAAGAGCAGAGACGAGACAGAAATCTTAATATACGTTGGTTAACTCCCTAAATGCCTACAACAGCTGAGACTGAGCCAAGCCAAAGCCAGGAGCCACAAATTCAGTCCAGGTCTCCCACATAGGTGGCAGGGACCCAGGCATTTGAGCCATCGTCTGCAGCCTCCAAGGATGTTCATTAGCAGGGAGCTGGATTAGAAATGGCCAGGACTCCAACTCAGGCAGTCCAAAGTGGGATGCCTGCCTGAGTTCAAAAATTAATTTTATGGGGCTAATGATTGGCCTATTGGTTAAGAACCTGGTTAGATTTGATAGGTTTAATGTTATGTCTGAAATTAGTTCAATGTATATAGAAATAAAGCATTGTTTTTTTTTAATGTTTTTAATGATTATTCCATCCTGTAAGTAAATATACATGAAAGATTTGATACTTATTGCAACATTTGTGGTCAGAATTAAATTGGCAAATCTTTAAAAGGTTTATTAATTATTTGAAAGAAGTAGAGAGAAAGGGGGAGAGACAGAAAGAGGGCAGTCTTCGGTCTGCTAGTTCACTCCCCTAGATGACTACAAAGATGGAATTTTATCCATCTCTCCCACAAGGATGGCAGGGCCTCAAATATTTGGACCATCTTCCCTTGGTTTTCCCAAGCCATCAGCAAGGAGCTGAATCAAAAGTGGAGCAACCAAGACATGAACCAGCACAGTGTCACAGGTGGTGGCCACAACACTGGCCCCTTGGATAGGTCTTCTATCATTAGAAGCAAGCACTTGGCAGGTTTAGAAGTTCCTTTATATTTGCTGCTCACTAGGTGGCGCCATGTTCCCTGAGGAACAGCTTGTCTACAGTTTAGTCTTGTTAGCTGATTTGCAGTTTTTATTTTGAGTTGCCCAAACTGAAACTAGTTACTTACAGCCTCAGGAGTTAGCACAGCCTGAGTTGTCTTTTTGCAAAAGCCTTCTGTAATAGTTTCACTAAACTGTCCCTATGCTTTTTGACAGATAGATATTGAAAATTGATATGTGAACTCCACTATTTTGTGAAAGAAGTGCTTGAGAATTTTTTTTTTTGGCATGTCAACTGAAAATAGTATAAATTTTCTTATAGTTCTGAACACACTTATGATGATTACTTTGGGAGAAGTTTTTTTTTGTTTTTGTTTTTAAGGTTTTAATTATCTGAAAGGCAAAGTTAGAGAATTTCTTTACACTGGTTCGCCTCCCAAATGGCTATGACTGCTAGGGCTGGGCCAGGCTGAAACCAGGAGCCGGGAGCTTTGTCTGAGTCTCCCATGTTGGTGACTGGAGCCCATGTACTTCAGCCAACTTCTTTTCCAGTCATATTAGCTGGAAGTTGAGTCAGAAGTAGAACAGTCTGCAATTCCCTATGTAAGCAGTGTTCCTGTGTCATTTTTAAAATTAGGAGAGTTTATTTGGATTACAAATACTTTGTGCTTGTTAATTAATTACTACTTCAAGGCTAATGAATTATGTATGACTTGTTGTATGTGATTTCTGTTATAGGCTATGGAAAGAGCAAACGGAATGGAGTTGGATGGGAGAAGAATTCGTGTGGACTATTCCATCACCAAAAGAGCGCACACACCTACACCAGGCATCTACATGGGCAGACCAACTCAGTAAGAGTCCATATTTCCTAAGCTAAATTCTTAAGAACTACAAATAGGTGCAAATTTTTGACTAACTAGAAGATAAAGTGATTTTCCCCTTATAATTAGAGTTCAAGTTACTTAATTTTTATTCAGTCTTTGAATCCTTACATACTCACATGCCAGAGCTGTGGTGCAGTGTGGGTAAAGCCGCTGCCAGCATCCCATATGGGTGCTGGCTCAAGTCCCAGCTGCTCCACTTCAAATCCAGCTGCCTAACAGTGCACCTGGGAAAGCAGCAGCAGATGGCCCAAGTGCTTGGGCCCCTGTACCCACATGGGAGATCAAGAAGCTCCTGGTCATTGAGGCTACTTGGGGAGTGAACCAGCAGATGGAAGACACTTCTCTATAACTCCACCTTTCAAATAAATAAATCTTCAAAAGAAAAAAGTTCTTGATGATTTGGGCAGAGTATTAATAAGAGAATATTCTATTAACTTAGTGTTTTGTGAAGAGATTATTGGTTATGAGTGTAAGGGTAAGGAGCTAGAGCACTGAAATAATCTCAGAAGTATGGAGTGGAGTGTTAGACGTGGAGTGAAATAAAGCTCTTCGTCATTGAAAAAAACCAAAGCACAATACCATGGAAGTTTGCAAAAAGAGATGGAAGCAATTCTATCTTATCTCTCATCCTCTCCATTTTTTATAAAGCTCCTACCTGTAGTAAATGATTGTGAAAGAGAATCTTTACACTGATGTGTGATTTGTACATTCTTCTATAGCAGTGGTGGTGGCGGTGGCGGTGGAGGTGGCGGCGGAGGTGGAGGTGGCGGCAGACGTCGGGACTCTTACTATGATAGAGGTTACGATCGTGGCTATGACAGATACGAAGACTACGATTACCGGTACAGGTAATGTCTCCCACTGAGATTGCCGTTCTAAATAAGGTGGTAGCAGTGTTACTTATTTTTTCTAGTAGAATTAGCACACAGAGACAGGTTATGATCTTGGGGACATTATTATTTTGAGTAATGCGAAAGTTTCATTTTCATCTGCTTCAGTGGAGTGATTATGTGGTGTGCTGAGTAATTTTTTATTTCTTACAGAAGACGATCACCTTCTCCTTACTACAGTCGATACAGATCACGGTCAAGATCTCGTTCCTACAGCCCAAGTATGTGAACTCTGCTTTTGTAGTATTTAATAATTAATGACTTGTCTTAGAATGTTAGTGTATATAGTGGCAATACAGAAAATCATTAAGCAAGTCAAATCATCATAATTAACAATTTTTTTGTTCTTTCTCTTTCAGGGCGCTATTGATAATGGAATGGTTGCAATTAAGGACTTTTTTCCCCTCTCATTATTTTCTCTATCTTTTGGTTTTTGTTTTTCTTTAATTTTGGATTTCCCCAAGTTTCTAATACTTCCTAGTCCTTAAAAAATCTTTGGTTTTTTAGCATCTACACTTTGTCAATTGTGTTGCTGTTTTCCACCCTTTTTATTATACTCTTAAAGATGTGATTGTCATTTTGAGTAGTTAAACATCTTGAGTAAAAAAAGGAAACCCCCATGTTATGCTTTGTAGATGATTTTTCCTTTTACAGAGGATTAACTCCTAACTAATCAAATGAGAAGAATGATCTTTTTAAAGACCTCCTTTTGTGTTAGATATTGTATTAGACATTGTGTTAGAGACTTGGCATTTCATCAAACTTTTTTTTTAAACTTTATTTTTGGGAACATAGTAACACAAAATAGTTCAGTCATGTCAGGTTTGGGGTGGCATGGAACAAATAGTTGAGTGTAGAAGGTTTGAAGCTATAGAAGAAAATACTTGGACATGTCTTTTGAAGAGGGATCTTTTGAACTATTATAAACTAAGTCATTTTTTTATAGATGAAAAACTTGTGGATGCCTACAAAACGTATTTCAAATACATCTGTTCAACCTTAGAAACTTAAAAGTGTGATTTTGTGTTAAAATTATTGAAGCTTAAGTATTCCCTTAATCTGTGAAGGACAACCCTTATTTATTACATAGAGCAATTGTATAATTTGCTGTTAGAAATTTTGGTATTGGGATAATGGTTAAGCAGGCTATTGTGTAGTATAGAAATTCTTAGAAGACACCTGTGGGGGAAAGTAGTCTCCTTCCAAATAAAAGTTAATATCTTTGAAAATGGGGTTGTCTCATTATTGTGGTACAATGGGAAAACAGAACTGAGTTTATAAGGGAGCCAGTTACTTCCATACATTCATTCCCCTAGCACATGTTTATAAAGTTTTGCCCACCCTGAATTAATATTCTCATTTCTCGTAATATTTTTTTCTTCAACTGAATCCTTCTTTTTAGTCTTTAAAAATCCCTTGGTTGTCCTCCTCTTTTTTTGGTAGACCAAATTATAAATGCTGGGGTTTATTCAGTATAGCAGCACACTAAAGGAAAGAAATGGACAGCGCTCATTGTCAAGAGGCCCACAGTCTAGCAGGAAACGGTTTTAAGGACATAATATAAGGGGAGGTTATTTCAGTTAACCATTTTAGAAAGATATTAGGAACAAGCACCTTTATTTTTTCAAGGCAGTAGAAATTAAAAAAAAAATAAAATTGTTATAAACCTGTGACATTGAAATGCCTCAGACATTAAAGAATTCTTTACAGAATTCTAAAGTATTTACAGAGTTCTAAAAGCATTTTGCCATTAAAAGATGGCCAAAGAAAAATTTGATAATTTCTGTTGGTCCCTAGGTGATTTTTGTATTAACTTAGGTTGGTTTTGTTTTTTAGTTTTTTAAGGATTATTTCTTTTCAAGGCAGAGGGACTGGCACCTGCAGTGCCACCATCCCAAATGGGCTCCAAGTCCCAGCTGCTCCACTTCCAATCCAGCCCTCTGCTATAGCCTGGAAAAGCTGTATAATATGGCCCCTGCACCCACATGGGATACTCGAAGCTCCTGGTTCCTGGCTTTGGATCAGTCCAGCTGCTGCCATTGCAGCCATTTGGGGAGTGAACCAGCAGAGGGAAGACCTCTCTCTCTAACTCTTTTTTTTTTTTTTTTTTTTTTTTGATTTATTTATTTACACACACAGAAGGAGAGGCAGAGAGAGAGGGGTCCTCCATCTGCCTGTTCATTCCCTAATTGGCCACAATGGCCAGAGCTATACCGACCTGAAGCCAGGAGCCAGGAACCTCTTCTGGGTCTCCCACTTCGGTGCAGGGGACTGCAGACTTGGGCCATCTTCTACTGCTATCCCAGGCCATAGCAGAGGGCCGGATTGAAGTGGAGCAGCCAGGACTCAAACCAGCACCTATACGGGATGCTGGCACTGTAGGCTGCGGCCTTACCCAGTACGCCACAGCGCCGGCCCTGCACTGGTCTTACTCTTGGTCGACATTACCAGTTAATAGGAAAAGATCTGGTACATTTTATGAAGATTTCCTACAGGGGACGCTGGCACTGCAGGTAGTGGCCCCACCCACCACAGCACAGCACCAGCCCCCTGCCTTTCAAATACATAAATAATTTTTTTTAAAGTAACAAATTGAAAAAAGGGACATGAATTTATTTCTAGTATTTAATAAATTCATTATTATTTCCGCTAGTAACTAAAATTTAGCATTTCCTTTTAAAAACAATTTTAGTTCATTTGAAAGGCAGACAAAAAGATACCTCCCATCTGCTGGTTCACTCCCCAAATAGGTGGAACAGCCAGGAATGAGCCAGGTTTTGAAGCTAGGGGTCAGGAACTACCCAGGTCTCCCATGTGGATGGCAGGGAGCCAACCAGTGAAGCCATCCTTACTGCCACCAGGAGGAGCTGAGCCAGGACTCAAATCTGGTGCTTCTAGAAGTGTGTGGTTATCCCAAGCAATGTCTCAACCTCTGCCAAATGCCTGCCCCAGCATTTCCTTTGATAATGAATGCAGGTAAAGATCCACCCCGTCTTTGAAAAGACATTTGAAACTAAATTAAAATTTTAAGTACTTTTGTATGTTCTAGTTCTTATTTAGGGTTTCCATAGTTTTGATATCAAATTCAGTAAGTGCAAAACTCAGAACATACCTGTCAACTTTATACACAGACCCTGAACCCATTTATATTACTGAAAGGGAATCCTAGTACTAAACATACCAGTCGTCAGCCCAAATTTATATATACACGAAATGGAGTCCCAGTGGGAATGCTGTGAAGGTTAAAGCAAGCATTCAGACTTAGAAAAGGAGTGAGCTGGGCTGACACTGTTGATGCCGTGGCTGCTTGGGGAGTGAACCAGCAGATGGAAGACCCCTCCCTCTGCCTCTGTAACTGTGCTTTACAAATAAGTCTTTAAAAACAGGTTGAACACCACACCCAATGATTCTGATGCCCACATCCCACACTGGTTTTTTTTTTTTTTTTTTATCTTTTATTTAATGAATATAAATTTCCAAAGTACGACTCATGGGTTACAATGGCTTTCCCCCCCATACCGTCCCTCCCACCCACAACCCTCCCCTTTCCCACTCCCTCTCCCCTTCCATTCACATCCAGATTCATTTTCGATTATCTTAATATACAGAAGATCAGCTTAGTATACCTTAAGTAAGGATTTCAACAGTTTGTTCCCACACAGAAACATAAAGTGAAAAATAATAGATGATTTTTTTTTAAATCATGATGAAATCAGATCAGACCTATTGTCATGTTTAATCCCAGCCCACACTGGTTTGATACCCAGTTCCTGCTTCCTACTGATGCAGACCCTGTAAGGCAGCAATAGTGGTTCAAGTAAAATTGGGTTTTGTTTTGTTTTGTTTTGTTTTGTTTTGTTTTTTTTGACAGAGTGGACAGAGAGAGAAAGGTCTTCCCGTCTTCCTTTGCCGTTGGTTCAACCTCCAATGGCCGCCGTGGCTGGCGCACTGTGGCCAGCCCACCGCGCTGATCCAAAGGCAGGAGCCAGGTACTTCTGGTCTCCCATGGGGTGCAGGGCCCAAGCACTTGGGCCATCCTCCACTGCCCTCCCGGGCCACAGCACAGAGCTGGCCTGGAAGAGGGGCAACTGGGACTAGAACCCGGTGTGCCGGCGCCACTAGGTGGAGGATTAGCCTAGTGAGCCGCCGCGCCGGCCTAAAATTGGGTTCTTGTCACCCATATGGGAGATGTGGATTGAGTTCCCAGTTCCTAACTGTGGCCTTAGCAGTTATTGTGGGCATTTGAAAAGTAAACTAATAGATGGGAATGCTCTCTTTATTTCCAAGAAATTTTTTTTTTAAGAGAGAAAATTGTATTGCTAAAGAAAAAAATCTAAGCAGGTCCAGCATAGTGGTGCAGCCAGTTGAGCCGCTGTGGGCAGTTCCAGTGTCCTGAATGAGTACTGATTAAGTCCAGGCTGCTCAACTTCTGTTCTAGCTCTCTGCTATGCTAATGAGCCTGGGAAGGCAGCAGAAAATGGCCCAAGTAGTTGGGTTCCTGTCACCTATGTGAAAGACCCAGCGTGGCCCAGCCATAGCTGTTGTGACTATTTGGAAAATGAACAGCAGATGGAAGATCTCTCCCTTTCTGTCTCTCCGTCTCACTGCCTTTCAAATAAATAATTTTTTTTTTTTTTAAAGGAAAGAAAAGTATAGGCCAGGTTATTGCTAGGCTTTCCACAGGAGTCCTGTGGCAGTCCAAATAGCAGTACAACCTCAGGAGGAAGGTGTGAGATCCGTGTCGTGCAAGTCGGCAAACACCTGGCTGGGAGTTCTATGCCCCAGCCCCACGGGCACTCAAACTTCAGCTCAAGCTGTCTCCATCAGACATTTCTGTTGGCCCAGTCCCTACAAGACGGGGAGAGAAGCAGGATGAAACTGTTCAACAATCACATGGAAGAATGTGTGTAGGAATAATAACCAGCAGGGGGGCTGGTGCTGTGGGGCAGTGGGGTAAAGTCCCAGCCTACAGCACCGGTATCCCATATGAGCGCTGGTTCGAATCCTGGCTGCTACTCTTCCAGTTCAGCTCTCTGCTGTGGCCCAGGAAAGCACAAGATGGCCCACTGCTCCCACGTGGGAGACCCAGAGGAAGCTCCTGGTTCCTGGCTTTGGATCAACTCAGTTCTGGCCATTGTGGTCATTTGCTGAGTGAACCAGCGGGTGGAAGACCTCTCTGCTCCTCTTTCTCGCTCTACCTCTCTTTATAACTGTCTTTTCAAATAAATAAAATAAATACCAAAAAAAAAGAGGCTAGAATAGATCTAAGCACCCAGGAAAACATACAGTAAAGCTAGCATTTCATTTTAGTGAAAGGACAAACCAATAAAAGGTTGATGGGGCCTGGCATTGAGGCACAAGTGAATGCCACCTGCAATGCCAGCATGGAGCACTGGCTTGAGTCCCAGTTCCACTCTGACCCAGCTCCATACTAAAGCACCTGGGCAAACAGCAGAAGATGGTCCAAGTACTTGGGTCCCTGCTACCCCTTTGGGAGACCTGGATGGGGTTCCAGCTTTCTGGCTTCAACCTGGACCAGCCCTGGAGGTTGCAGCCAATTGGGGGAGTGTACCGGTAGATGGAAGTGCTGTCTGTCTCCTGTCACCTTCCTCTTAAATTTTTTTTTTTTTTTTTTTTTTTTTTGACAGGCAGAGTGGACAGTGAGAGAGAGAGACAGAGAGAAAGGTCTTCCTTTGCCGTTGGTTCACCCTCCAATGGCCGCCGCGGCCGGCACGCTGCGGCCGGCGCACCGCGCTGATCCGATGGCAGGAGCCAGGAGCCAGGTGCTTTTCCTGGTCTCCCATGGGGTGCAGGGCCCAAGGACTTGGGCCATCCTCCACTGCACTCCCTGGCCACAGCAGAGAGCTGGCCTGGAAGAGGGGCAACCGGGACAGAATCCGGCGCCCCAACCAGGACTAGAACCCGGTGTGCCGGCGCCGCTAGGTGGAGGATTAGCCTAGTGAGCCGCGGCGCCGGCCTCTTAAATCATTTTTAAAAATATGTTGGTACAATGAACTATTTGGAAGAAAATAAAATTGAACTCAGAATACTGAACAATATAAATTACAGGTGGATTAAGTTACTAAATAGAAAAAGCTGGGCCAGTGCCACGGCTCACTAGGCTATCCTCTGCCTGCAGCACCGGCACACCGGGTTCTAGTCCCGGTTAAGGCTCCGGATTCTGTCCTGGTTGACCCTCTTCCAGGCCAGCTCTCTGCTGTGGCCCAGG